ATCAACAAGGGAATTGTTCATATAATACCTAGTAGGAGAACAAACCAAGTTTGGGGGAGATGTTTCATCAATATGTGCAGAAAACAGACAAAGTATTCCAACAGATTGATACTAATTTTCAAAATCAACAAGTATCTATCAAGAAGTTGGAGAGACAAATTGGTCAGATAGCTCAACAACTCGTAGATCGTCCACAGGGATCATTGCCAAGCAATACAACGACAAATCCTAAAGAGCAAGTGATGGTAATAAGATTAGTAGAAAATGATCCACTCAGAGCTCCTATAAAAGTTAAAGCATATGTACTTCTTCTTCCATTCCCCCAAAGACTTCGAAAGAAGTCAATAGAAGAAAATATTCATTCTATGACTACAATGAGTGAGATACAATTACCAGAGATTACTATAAAACTACCAGAAAGAAAAGATGACCATGAAGATATTGATGAAGCTATAATGGAAGAAAAATCAGCACCCTCCTCAATGAAAATGAAGAAAGTACAAAAACATCAACTGTCCAGGCACCAAGTCCAGTAAAGGCTTACACGCCTCCCATTCCTTTTCTTAAAAGGCTCAAGAAGAACAAATAAGGCACAAAATTTAAAAATCTTCTGAATGTTCTCAAGGAGTTGTACTTTGCCTCTTTCAATTGGAAATTCTTACGTTATTAATGCATTGTGATACGCAGGTGCTAGTATAAATTTAATGTCATATTCTGTTTACATGAAATTGGGATTGGATGAAGTCAAATCAACATCAATAAAGCTATAACTAGCTGATACAACTATTTCAAAATTACGTGAAAAAGTTGAGAATGTGCTCATAAAGCAGGGAATTTAATATTTCTAGTGGATTTCATGAAGCTGGACATTCCAGAAGATCAAGACATTCCAATTATATTGGGTCGGTCATTCTTAGTAACAGGTTGAACTCTAATTGACATAGAGAATGGTGAGCTAATATTGAGGGTGAAGGAAAAATAAGAGATATTTAATCTTTATATCCCATTTGAGAAACCTTCCAACAAAAATCATTGATTTAGAATTGATGAAGAAGAGCCACCTGATCAACGAAGCTTTCAGAATAGAAAATTAAACTTTGGAGGACTTATTGGTNATTTATACCTCATTTGAGAAACCTTCCAACAAAAATAATTGTTGTGGAAGTGATGAAAAAGAGGCATTTGATCAACAAAGTTGTCAAAATAGAAAATCAAATTTCGGTAGACTTCTTGGTAGAGATGAAAATGGAAATATCAAAATATAGAGAGTAAAAAAAAAAAAGGTGCATAAATGAAAATTGCACAAAGTGTAATGATGACATAACTTGGTTCAAGCCACCATGATCAAACATGGCACAAAGTCAAACTAATAACGTTAAAGAAATGCTTTTGGGAGACAACCCAGCTTTTTTCTTTTTTATTTATTCTGTTTTTGATTTTTATGATAGTTTAGTTTAGTTTAGTTTAAATTTATTTGTGACGCATTATCCATATCCCGTTTCCCTTTAAATCTTTGATATATTAGTTGGTTTTTTAGATGTTAGAGTTAAATAACATTTATTCCAATTATTTGATCTTAACGTTTTATTTGATTTTTCAAGAACATGACATCGCGAAACATTTAAACCAAAATTGACCACGGAGCTAATGAGACTAATAGAATAACTAGTCATTGAATTATAAGTCACATTATGAAAGTCTTTTCTTTACATTCTTCCTCATTCCTTTATATACGAATTTGAGATTAAAGACATTGAAGATAATGTCTAATTTAAGTTTGAGGGTGAAAAATATGAGTTTTCATTTTTTTTTTAAGTGTTTTAGTGTGTTTTTATTGTTTCAGCAAAAAAAAGAATAAAAAAAAATATTAAAAATATTTTCTTCTCGTGTACTTGTGTGAATTAATTGACATGGCTGGCAATGACGAATATATTAAATTATTAACTGATCTATGAATGGTGACTAAGTTGCATGTTTAGATTAATTTTTTTCTTTTCCATGTAAAATTTGATATATAGAAGAAAAACAGGCAGAACTGGGAATTCTTGGAGGAAAGAAAAAGAAATATACATACACACAGACGACAACACGTAAGAAAAGAAAAAGCTACAAGAAGAAAGAGAGAGAGAAAAAAAAGAAAAGGAGAAAAGAAAAAGTCAACAGAAAAGAAAACGGCGTAGAGAAAAAGATAAAAAAAAATAAAAGAAAGAAAAAAGAAAAGAAAATGAAATGAGACTACAAACATTAGGAATTCACGTTTCATCAATTTTTTGTGATATCTTTCCACTTTTGCGTGTTTTAATTTTTACAATTTGAATAACTAATTTTTATATTAAAGAAAACAGTGTAATCGACCTATTATCCTTTATTTTTTTATTCAAGATTTATGTGATTTATTTATGTGTTGATTTTATTATAAGTTTAATATATTAAATTACCTGATCAATAATTTGATGATTATGCGAGTCTCTTACGTATCGAGATGTGAATTTGAAATTAATATAACATGTAGAGATACATATACTAATTAT